CTCCCCCCTCGTCCACCTCCTCTTCGTCCCGAACGGCATCTCGGAGCCTAGAGTTGCGAGGATGTCTCCAGCGTAACGGGCTGGACCACCTCGCGCGCGGCATCTCGGACCCCAGAGTTGCGACGATGTCTCGGGCGAAACGTGGTGCGAGGAAGTCTCAGGCGAAACGGGCCGGACCACCTCGAGCGCGGCGTCTCAGAGCTCCGAGTTGCGGGGGCCTCCTGGTGCCTCCTGGGGCCTCCTGGGGACCTCCTGGGGCTTCCTCCTGGGCCTCCTGTGGCCTCCTGGCCCCACCTGGGGCTTCCTGAAGCCTCTTGGGGCTCCCAGGGGGGATATCTAACCTGTGGCCGTTTGGGCCTCTCCAAATGGAGGGGGGGGGCACAAGAGCAGGAAGAATCAACGAATCGACACCGGATGTGTATTAACTTGACACGTTCTGATAGGCGGCCTCCTGGGGCCTCCTGGGAGCCTCCTGGGAATCTCCTGGAGACCCCTGGGGCCTGTCCTGGGCGTCCTGCGGCCTCCTGGTGCCTCCTGGGGCCTCCTGGGGACCTCCTGGAGCTTCCTCCTGGGCCTCCTGTGGCCTCCTGAACTCCACCTGAGGTTTCCTGAAGGCTCTTGGGGCTCCCAGGGGGGATATCTAACCTGTGGCCGCTTGGGCCCCTCAAAATGGAGGGGGGGGGGGGGGGGGGGGCACAAGAGCAGGAAAAATCAACGAATCGACACCGGATGTGCATTAACTTGACACGTTCTGATAGAGCGCCTCCTGGGGCTTCGTGGGAGCCTCCTGGGAATCTCCTGGGGCCCCTGGGGCCTGTCCTGGGCGTCCTTCGGCCTCCTGGACCTCTCTGGGGCCTCCTGAGGCTCGCAGGGTCACATGTGGTCTTCTGGGCCCCCAGGCTGGACCACCTCTCGCGCAGCATCTGAGAGCTCAGAGTTGCGAGAATGTCTTGGGGAAACGGGCCGGACCACCTTGCGCGCGGCATCTCAGAGCTCACAGTTGCAAGGATGTCTCAGGCGAGCAGGCTAGACCACTTCGCGCAGGGCATCTCAGAGCTCAGAATTTCGTGGATGTCTCAGGCGAAACGTACCGGACAACCTCTCGCGCGGCATCTCCGAAGTCAGAGTTTCGAGGATGTCTCAAGCGAAACGGCCCGGACCACCTCGCGCAAGGCATCGCAGAGCTCAGAGTTTCGAGGATGTCTCAGGCGAAACGGCCCGGACCACCTTGAGCACGGCACCTCGGGGCTCAGAGTTTCGATGATGTCTCAAGCGAAACGGCCCAGACCACCTCTCGCGCGGCGTCCCGGAGCGCAACTTTTAGAGGATGTCTCAGGCGAAACTGCCCGGACCACCTCTCGCGCGGCGTCCCGGAGCGCAACTTTTCGAGGATGTCTCAGGCGAAACGGCCCGGACCACCTCTCGCCTGGCACCTCGGGGCTCAGAGTTTCGAGGATGTCTCAAGCGAAACGGCCCGGACCACCTCTCGCGTGGCGTCCCGGAACGCAACTTTTTGAGGATGTCTCAAGCGAAACTCCCCGGACCACCTCTCGCGCGGCGTCCCGGAACGCAACTTTTCGAGGATGTCTCAGGCGAAACGGCCAATCCCGGCCAACTCAGAAACGAGAGTTGTGATGATGTCTCAAGCGAAACAGCCAAAACCATAAAATTTGTGTGAGGATGTCTCTGCTCCGACTTCCCTCGGCCGGAGTTAGTTTCTACCACAACAGCACCCCGTTCAGCAAGCTGTTTGGGGGGAAAAAAAAAACGAGAGAGGGAGGAGGCAAGAGAGGGGAGGGAGAAGGGAGGGAGAGGAGGGAAAGGTGATAGGGCAGAGAGGCATAAGGATGAAGGAAGAGAGGAGGGAGAGAGAAGGGAGGAGAGGAGGGAGGAGGGAGGAGGGAGAGGGAGGAGGAGCAGGAAGGTAAGAGCGCGAACGTTCGAGGAAGTCCTAAGCGAAAGCGCCGTTCCTGAAGGAAGTCTCGGGCGGGAGCCCACGACGGGCTGGCGATCCCCTGACGGGCGGGTCGGGCGGGTGGGACATGCAAGCGGGATGCTTGAGTATGGCGAGAGCGCGATTATTAAGTAAATTGTAACGGCGTCCTTGGCGCAGCGTGTTTCCAGAGCGTCGAAAAAGCGCAACTTCTAAATAATTTGCATGGAATTGACAGGCGAGAGCGCAATTCCTGAATAAAATGTGAAGCGTTTTCTGGGGAGGGGGGGTCTTGATGTCTGGAGTAAATTGCAAAGAAGTGTTGGTTCAATTGCGAGGAAGTCTCAAGCGGGAGCGCCGTTCCTGAGTAAATTGTGAGGAAGTCTGAGATGGGAGCGGGGGTCCTGATTAAATTGCGAGGAAATCAAAGGCGGGAGCACCGATCCTGAGTAAATTGTGAGGAAGTCTCAGGAGCGGGGGTCCTGAGTAAATTTACAGGAATTCTCAGGCGGGAGCCGTTGTTGTTGTAATCCGGGGGGCCAGGGGCCCAGTGTGAGCACCAAAATCTCCCCTGTCAAAAAACAGTGTGCGAGCGTCGAGAGGCACACTTTGATTCAGAAAAAACAGCATGCACCGGTGAGGGGGTGATCAACAAGAAGTATTTTTCAAAAGTATTCTTCCGAAGTGAGAGTTCAGCAACAACAACAACGCAACAAACATAATCTTCACCACGGATTCTCACTTCAGCCACGCACCCAGGGACAATGAATGACCGCTCGGCCCTTTCATTCTGATAAGGATATAAGGCTAAAGGGCTACCGGGCACCCGGGCACCCGGGCACCTGGGCACCCGGGCACCCGGGCACTCGGGCACCCGGGCACCCAGACACCGGGGCACCGGGCCACCCGGGCGGGCCGCGGAAATCGGCGGCACACCTCACCTACCCACTTGAATCCGCTAGGACCCCCTCAGAGGCAAGCTCTGATTGGGGAATAAAGCAGAAGTCATACACAAAGGTCTTCGCGGCTCATTCGAAGGATAAGGAGAAAGAGGAGGAATGAAGAGGAAGAGTAGGAGGGGAAGGGGAGAAGGAGGAGGAGGAGCAGGAGCAGGAGGAGTAGGAGGGAGATGAAGGGAAGTAGGAAGAAGAGGAGGGTAAGGAAGAGTGCGAGCATAAGAGAACTGCGCAGGTGGGAGCAGGAGGAGGACATGAAAGGAGGAGGTGGATGAGGAGGACAGGGGGGGAATAAGGCGACGACGACGACGACGGCAGTAGTCAACCATAAGGGCTTCGCACGTCTTTCGCTCACGGAGACTATTGAAAGCCTCTCGGATCCATTCTGGAGACCTCGTGGGCCTATTGGGGGAGTTTCCGAAGCCCTCTTGGGTGTCTCTTGTTGCCCTGCCCTCTTGAGCTGATCCAGAGTCGTCCTGTCGGAGGCCGACACATTTCTTGGGACCCATTGAGACGCATTGGGTTGCTTTTGCAGATCTTTGGGGCCATCTTGGAGCCCTCGACGATGCCCATCCAGTGACGATGCACAGGCGAATTGCCCTGACCAGGTAAGTGTAGCATGAGCTCGCGCGACCCGTGGGACCACCCCTACAAAACCCCCCGAACCTTGCCCAAGGATGGGGCGAACCCCCTGTGACAATGCACGAGGGGGGGACCCATGCCAAGAAATACCCTGCTTGCCTCCAGGGTGCCCTGGGTTTCTTGGGGTTCGATGCTTTTACGATGGAAAGCGTGACGTTCCCACACCAAAACCAATGGTCGCCCTGGGGTCTCAGAGTTGGGTTTCTTGTGGAAGGTTTCTTGTGGTCGGGCCTCTACTGTACAAGGGGGGGGCGCGGACCTCATCATTGTAGAGGACGGCTAGGCCCGCCCGACGAGACCCTGCCGTGGCGAGAGCGTCTGAGACCTCAGTCGCTTGTTGCTTGCTTTCTGCTCGGCCCAACAATTCCCCCTCCTCCTTCTCCTCCTCCTCCTCCTCCTCTTCCTATTCCTCTTCCTCCTCCTTCTTTCCTGCTCCTCTGTTCCTCCTCCGCCTTCTCCTCCTCCTCCTCCTCCTCTTCCTCCTCCTCTTTTCCTCCTCGTCCTCGAGGGCGGCCAACGGCGGGAACCCTTGGGCTCCGTGTTAACCGTCCCCTTCAGTAACGAGAGTGGGCCTGAACCAGCCCTGTCTGCGACGATCCCCCGCCCGGAGGAGGTTGTCGAGGGGGTCGGGGAGGGGGGCGGCGAAGTCCTTGCGCCTGCATAGGGGCGATGCCGCCGACGTTTCGCCGCTCGCACCAGAAATCGAAGACGCGGTTCTTCTAATGATGACCACGGCTGTGACGCATTACCAGACGTTTTCGAGGCCTTCTCGAACCCATTGGCTGCGGCTCGCTCGCCGCAAGCGTTTAGCTTGCCAACCTCATGCTAAAGCATGTGGCATCCCCAGGCACTCCGTGTGAGCTTCAAGGAAGCCTTCAAAGGTCTCCAAGAGGGCCACGAAGAGGGCCCCAGAGCAAGCTGTAACTTGCGACTTGCTTCGGGTGGCCTCTGGGCCCCCCCGAAACACCCCCAAGGACCCCGCAAGAGGGGTGCGGCCCCTGACACGTCCCCTGGCAAACCTCTTAGCACGTCCCCTGGCACGCTCCCAGCTATGCCCCTGGACACGTCCCCTGGCATGTCCCTTGACACATCCCCTGGCAAGTCTCTTGAAGCTTCCACCGTCACGTCCCATGGCAAGTCCCCTGCGCGTCCCACGGGAACGATCTTAGGTCGCACCACTGTATTGTCTGGACCTGGGACGCACCATCCTCAAGCGAGCACGCGGAATGCACGTGAGGCAATCCTGGAACACGCACAGGGTGCACGTGAAGCGATCTTGGGACGCACTGCATAGTCTGCACCGAGGACGCACCGTCCACAAGCGGGCTCGCACGGCATGTGGGTCACTGTGTCGCTCCAGACCCTCCTTGAACCCGACAGGAGGGCTTCTGTCTTTTCGGTGTCGTTAACCTTGGGCAACTATGCACGACAAGCACACACGCAAGCTATTCGGGGAAAAGGGCCTCCAGGCGAGCATCGCCACCGCCGGCTACGACGAGGCGGACGACTCCGGAGCCGCAAACTTGCCGACTCGCCAGCCGGGAACCACCGCAGAGTCGACTGCGACGGCCGAGGGCGGAGGAGGTAAAGAAGTCTACGACCTGGACGACTACGAGGAGGAGGAGGCGTACGAGGACAGTGTCGGCGGGCATGAGGGCGTGGGGCGAAGGGGAGCAGGTTCTGCTCCCACACCGGATCCTGCCCCCCAGAGGTCCCCCGCAGGTCCTCAGAGGGTGCAGGAGGGGCCTCTGGAGGCCCGACACGGGCCAAGAGCGTCCGAGAACTCCCCCCCCCAGCCTTCGCCACGACGTGGAGGGCAAAAGCGTGCCAGGGAGGGGGCTTCCAAGAAAGGATCGGAGGCCTGGTAAACACAGTTTCTTAGACGGCGGGGGGGGCGTCTCGGAGGCACGTTGCCGTTTCAGAAGGCCCGCCCCCTGCGTCTTCTCCCCCCGTCCTCTTCTGCGCGCCACCAGAGGACGACGCGGACCCCGAGTTCGACGAGGAGGAGGAGGAGGACGAGGACGAGAAAAAAGACATCAACACGACGTCATTGTCCAATATCCAGAAGGAGGAGGACGAGCCTGAGAAGGAGGAGACGGAGGAGAGCGAGAAGGCGGGAGACGACGGGGGCAAGGCGGAGGGCGAGGAGGTCGAGGCGAGCTCTTTCCTGACGAGCGCTTCGCGAGCTGCCGCGAGCGAGCGGGAGGCCGCCGCCGCCACGAGGATCCAGAGCGTGCATCGCGGCAAGGCCGCGCGGCGACGGGCGTCGGAGCAGAAGGCCGAGCGCGAGCGCCAGGCCGCTCGGGAGGCCGACGACGCCCGGGAGGCGGCGGCCATCCGGGCCGAGCTGGCGCGGCAGCAGGACGTCCGCGGCGCGCCGCGCAGACCCCCTTCGAGCCACTGGCACGCAGCACGACGGGAGGCGTCTCCGGAGCTGCGGCCTCCAGGGGCCCTCCCAACGGGCCTCGGGGCCGTCCACGGAAGCCATTCGGGGGACGGGTCGAGGCCTCGCAGGGGCTCGAGGCGACGAGGGAGCCATGGCGTCGGTGGGCCGGGAGGAGCGACCCTCTGCTGGAGTGACCGCTGGTGCGCGGCACCTGGGCGGCGCAGCGCGGGCCGCCGCGCCAGGGCCCCGAACCATCAGGGGCTGGGGCTGGTCAGGGGCAGCGCCGGATCCGTGCCTCGGGGGCCGACCGGGGAGTTGGCCCTTTCTGGAGCTGTCCTGGATCACTCGGGCGCCCCACCAGTCTTGGATCATGGGGGCTGAGGGGCTGAGGGCGGTCAGGGGTAACTTTTTACGTCGGGCCTGTCCCTCTACAGGAGGAGTGTTCAAGAATAGTTAAAAGAAGTGGTCTGGGGACGATTTTTCAATGAGTGTTCGATTATGTTTGAGCCCGATCACATAAGGGTAACTCTTGGTCCGTGCGTCGGGGGCCCAGCCCAGGGTCACACCCCGCATCGGAGCCGAGCTATGCCGGAGCACTTCGGGCGCCCAGCTGCCGTGTCGCGCCGCACGCAGCGATCGGCACGCCGCACAGCAAGGGGCCGCTCCTGCCCGTGGGCACTCTTGAAAGCACCCGAGGATTAAGGCGGGCACGTCCCTCTAGAGGAAGGAAATTCAAAAATAGCAAAGATAGTCTGGGGACGATTTTTGGATTACTTGTCGACTATGCTTGAGCATGTTTGGGCTACGTTCCCTACCTAGGCTCTGCCTAGAAGGGTTCTTACTCTATAAGCTTAAAGTGGCGGCCAGTGGGTCCCGCCCCGGGCGGTTCCCCCAGGATCCGCCCCGCGGTACCCCAAGTGACGTCCCCTGGGTTCACCGAGCTTAGCTTAGCTTAGCTTAGCTTAGCTTAGCTTAGCTTAGCTTAGCTTAGCTTATCTCATCTTAGCTTAGCTTTGCCTAGCCTAGCTTAACTTAGCTTAACTCATATCATCTTAGCTTAGCTTGGCTTGGTTTGGCTTAGCTTAGCTTAGCTTAGCTTATATGTTAGTTTAGCCTAGCTTAGCTTGGCTTAGCTTAGCTTAGCTTAGCGCAGCGCAGCATAGCGCAGCGCAGCATCAGCACAGCATAGCATGGCATAGCATAGCCAAGCATAGCCAAGCATAGCATAGCATAGCATAGCATAGCATAGCATAGTATAGCCCAGCATAGCATAGCATGTCATATCAGAGTATAGCATAGCGCTGTATGGCATAGCATAGCATAGCCTTGCTTAGCATAGCACAGCGCGGCATAGCATAGCATAGTACAGCATAGCATAGCATAGCACAGCATAGCATAGCATAGCTAAGCTGTCGGTGTAGATGTAGATGTTGCTTTCCTAAATATTCCTACTCCTAGGTAGGGTCGCACAGGGATACTTTACATTTTTCGTCGAGAGTCGCCCTGTAGGGGGACATGCCCGACGCGCGCGGGTCACTTTACAACCAGAAGCGCACTTTACAACCAGATGGGTCACTTTACAACCAGCTTGCAAAATCAGAGAAGGGCACTTTACAACCAGGAAGGGCACTTTACAACCAGGCAAGTGGAAACACATATTGAATGCACGCGGGCCTTTCTCTGAAATCTCAGCGGGCAAGCGCAAGGGTGGCTTTGGGCTCTTTGAGGCATGTTGGTTGTAAAGTTGTCCATCGCGCACGAAGGAGCACTGCGCACGCGTTGGTGATGCGACGACCTGGTGCGCTATGGTATGTTGCGTGCTGGTGGGCGGATTATGGTTTTGACCTGCTCTCGAAGCTCTGTCGGTCAGTTCTGCCATTGCGTGCTCTGCCTTTGTCTGACGGATGAAGGCTACTCGCGCAGGACATACGAATAAACCATGATCCTGTCCAAGACTGGAGCTGCATGGCAGTGGGAAGCTGTAGTGGGAGATGTGGTGCTAGCGGGGGCAACAATGGGAACGGCATGGTGTTGGGAAGCTGCGGTGGCAACTGTGGTGGTCGCCAGGCAGCGGTGGGAACTGCGGTGGTAGCTGGGCTGCAATGGGGTCGGCGCTGCCAGATTACACCGCCGACGCGCGCAGACAGCGCAGGGTAACGAGCCATTCGGCCCTCCATCACCACCATCACCATCACCATCACAAGCATCACCAGCATCAGCATCAGTATCATCATCATCAGCAGCATCATCACCATCATCATCATCAACAACACCGTCGTCACCATCGTCATCAGCAGCATCATCACCAGCATCACCACCAGCATCATCATCAGCATCCGCGGCCTCAGCGGTCATCATCATCAGCATCATCATCATCAGCATCATCATCAGCAGCATCATCATCATCATGATTATCATCATCATCACCATTGTCACCGTCATCATCGTCATCAGCATCAGCAGCATCATCATTCTCATCGTCGTATTTCTCTTTCTCTGCCTCCGCCTCCGCCTCGTCCCCCTCATCTTCCTCGTCACCCCCCTCCGCTCCGTCATCATTCTGATTATCATCCTCCTCCGCGTCCTTCTCCTCCTCGTCATCCTTCTCCTCCACATCATCCTGCTCCTGCTCATGCTCCTGCTCACGTTGTAGCTGGGATAGGAAGGAGGCCGTCTTCCCCCCCCCTCCTCCTCTTCCTCCTTCTCATCCTCGTCATCCTTCTCCTCGTCCTCCTCCTCCTCTTCCTCCGCATCCTCCTCCTCCGCACCCCCCCCTCCCCCCCCCCCCCCCCCCTCCGCATCCCCATCCCCACCCTGCTCATCCCGCTCCCCCCCCCCCCCCCCCCCCCTCATCCTGATCACGTTATCCCTTGGCTTCCCCTGTGTTATTCCTCGGCCTCCTCCGCCTCCTCCTCCTCGTCATCCTGCTTTTCCGTAGCTCGGATAGGAAGGAGGCCGTCTTCCCCCCCCCCCGTCCTCCTCCTTTTCCTCCTCCTTCTCCTCCTCGTCATCCTTCTCCTCGTCCTCCTCCTCCCCCTCCTCCTCCGCATCCTCCCCCTCCTCTTCCTCCTCCTTATCCTCAACCTCATCCCCCTCGTCCCGTTCCTCCCCCTCCTCATCCCGATCATGTTATCCCTTGGTTTCCCCTGTGTTCTTCCTCGGCCTCCTCCGCCTCCTCCTCCTCCTCGTCATCCCCCTCTTCCTCCTCCTGCTGCTACTCCTCCTGCTGCTCCTCCTGGAGGAGGAAGAGGAGGAGGAGGAGGAGGGGGGGGAGGAGGAGTAGGGGAAAGAGGACGAGGAGGAGGGAGGAGGAAGTGGAGGGGGAGGATGAAGAAGAGGAGGAGAAGGGGAAGGAGGAGGAGAAGGAGGAGGAGGAGGAGGAGGAGGAGGAGGAGGAGAGAGGAGCGAGGAGCGAACGGGCGAACAGTGTCCCCTCGTCCTTCTCCACCTGCTCTTCATCCGCCGTCTTCTCCTCCTTAGCTACTCCTCATCGCGCTACTGATTTGTTCCAGCTGATGGTTCTCCTCCCCCCGCCCCACCTGCACCTCCCCCCCCCCCCTCATCATCCACCCCCCCTCTCTCTCCTCCGTCCTCCGCGGCAACATCGGCAACATCGGAATGAAGAGTCGAACCTGGACACCTGTCGTCCTCCGACTTCGCCTCCGCCTCCTCCTCCTCCTCCTCCTCCTCATTATCCTCCTTCTTCTCCTCCTCCTTCTCCTCCTCCCCCTCCTCCTCGTCCTCCTCCTCGTCCTCGTCCTCCTCCTCCTCCTCCTCCTCCTCCTCATCGTCCTCCTCCTCGTCCTCCTCCTCCTCCTCGTCCTCCTCCTCGTCCTCCTCCTCCGCCCCCCTGGGCTCTCACCCCTTCCTTTCCCCCGCCCGCTTCGCTCGGCGCGGTGCCCAGACGACGACAGTGCGTGCCACAGCCGACGGCGGCGACACGGCGGCTCAACGATGGGGCCTTGGGGACGATGCGGCCTCAAAGCTGACCTCTGCGGCTGTTCCGCGCGCGGGGTAGAGCCGGCTTTAGTTCAAACGCGAAGGTGGACATATCGTTGAGCAGGGACCGACCGTCGCGGCATTTCTATAGGCTTTCCACAAAATTATCTTAGAACCCCGAGATGTTCAAATAACATAAGCACTGTTTTCAGAACATCAGCCCGATATGTTAAAACAAGACAGTCCCAGCAAAAACTGCATTAAGAACATTTCGTGGAAACCAGAAACTGAGAGCCGGCAGTTCGAAACCCGCGCGCCTGCCAACAGACAGAGCGCCCGCTCGGCAAAGGAGTGACGGCAGGCTGGGCGCGACACGTGGGCGCAGGGAGGCCGCCCCTGGGACATGCGAGCAGAACCTCGGGCAGCATGTGGGGAGCTGGCCGGTCGAGGTTGGCGCGGAGGAGGCGTCGTCATCTCACCGCAAGAACACGAACAAGAGCAACTAAAACATCATCATCAACAACACTCATTTGAAGACTGTTCACTCGTGTACACTCGCGTGCCATTCAACACGTATCTCGCAAACCCTCGAGACCCGCCCACTTCGTCTTTGATCGCGCCCCTTTCAAGGTAGATCATTCTGACCCCTGCAACGTGTATTTCGCGCAGCCCTTAAGGCAGGGGAAGAGAGGACGGACGGAGGGACAAGACAAGGGGGGGGGGGGGGGAGGATGCAACGCGAGAGAGATTTGCAGGAGGGGGGCGAGGAGCAGAAAACACGTGGCAGAAACAACCAGGCAGATCGGGCAGGTAGACCTCGACGGACGGGTCGCGAAGGCGGGCCCAGGCGGCCAGGTCGAGCAGCCGGGTTGCTGAAGCGTGCGTCTTGCATGAATCGCGAGAAGGTCTCGAGCGACAGTGCGATTCACAGATAAATGGTGAGGACATCCACAGCGAGAGCGCGATTCCTGAGTGTCGAGGGAACGTCGTCTGAGTAAATTGCGGGTCGACAGCGAGAGCGTGATTCCTGAGCGTGA